AGGCACCCAATATATGTTCTCCAGGTCTTTTAGAAAACATGGAGTGGTTCCTTTGGCAACATATATGGGAATCTACAAGAAAGGTGATATTGTAGACATTAAGGGAATGGGTACTGTTCAAAAAGGAATGCCCCACAAATGTTACCATGGCAAAACTGGAAGAGTCTACAATGTCACCCAGCATGCTGTTGGTATTGTTGTGAACAAACAATTTAAGGGCAAGATTCTTGCCAAGAGAGTTAAAGTGCGTATTGAGCATATTAAACATTCTTTTTGGAGAAGGTTTATTTATTTATTTATTTATTTATTTATTTTTCTGTAGGGCGTGTGTGCTCACCAGAAATACAGAGACAGAGAGACATAAAGTGAGAAATCAACCCCCAGGGGGGATGGCCATGCCACAATCCCTTCTCCTCCTTTCTCCTCTCAGGATTTTGGGCACACATGCACATGCATCCAGCGTGAGTTTAAGCCACTGGGTCTGGGACTCAAATCACGGTCGACTACATGGGAGTCCAGCGACCTAGCCATTATGCTAACTGCTGGTCTCAGAACATATTAAGCATTCTAAGAGCAGAGATAGCTTCCTAAAACTAGTGAAGGAAAATGACCAGAAGAAGAAAGAAGCCAAAGAGAAAGGCACCTGGGTTCAACTAAAGCGCCAGCCTGCTCCACCCAGAGAAGCATACTTTGTGAGAACCAATGGAAAGAAACCTGAGCTACTAGAACCTATTCCCTATGAATTCATGGTACGATGGGTGTTAAAAATAAACTAATCTGTGGTGTATAAAAAAAAAGTGGGAATGATACCTATGTCACTGAATTGATTTGCCATAAATAAGGTCAGGAATGAATGCAAAATGGCACACAGTAGGGCCTTCTTTGACATTAGCCTCCTTCCTCCTCTCCCCGTTCTCCCCAATTCTGATGTCCACTGCAGTTGCCCTCCACTCTACTTGAAAAGCAGGGCATAGTTTTAGAGCAAGGTAAATGCTAAACATTAACACTGAGCCTTATCCTCACCGAGAAGTGAAACAATTATAGTTAAGAGTATGTTCAATATGGGAACATTCTGTTCCACCCTTGAGCCCACTGTCTGTCTCTAAGTGCTGACTGGGGTGGGAGGTGCGGGTAGGAGGCCGTCAGGGACTCAGTTTAGCAACTGTGGCAAAACAAAGCAAGCACCTGTGTTCAGAGCCTAAACCCCACATAACATGCACAGTAGGTTTTAAAAGAGAAACATTTGACTACATATTCTGGATTAGGAGAGATGCTAGACCAAGGTGAGAGAGGGATTTTTTTTTTAAGAATTATTTATTTAATTTTATTTGTTGTATTTATTTATTATTTTTTTAAAAAAACAAACATCTTTCAGTTTATCCAAAATATAAATGCACATAAAGAATACAGGTTTACTATTTCCACCACGTAAGTTGATGCTGTTGTTGAAAGGCTCATTTTTTTGTTTTTGGAGAGGTTTTTTTTTTTTTTTTTGCGATAGGGCATGTGCACTCACCAGACAGAGAGAGACAGAGAGACAGAAAGCGAGAAATCGTCCCCCAGGGGGGATGGTCACGCCACAATCCCTTCTCCTCCATTCTCCTTTCGGGATCTTGGGCACGCACGCACATGCGCCCGGCGTGAGTTTTTAAGCCACCGGGTCAGGGACGCGAACCGTGGTCTACTACATGGGAGTCCAGCGACATAGCCATTACACTAACTGCTGGTCCCTGAAAGGCTCATTTTTTAATCTCGATCCCTCAATAAAGTGTAGCTATATTGGCTGAGTGCTATTTTCTGGAAGAAGCTCTCAGGTGGTCTGCTTGCTTCACTTGGGCTTGCTCTCCTGGGGCTGTATCGGTTGTGTGTCAGGTCCATGATGAAATTCTCTGTGCAGTTTTCTAGAATGTAAGTCAAATACGAATTGTTTGCGTTTTCCAGTCTCCAAACACATATGTACACCTAAAGCTGTCACTATTACAGGCAATCTGCTGGAGTTTTCTGTATGTGCAGAAGAGGATGTCTACATTTGTCATGATCAGCATGGAAAATATTTATTGTACCTTTTTCACTTATCAATTGTTGGCTACTTAATTCTGGAGTCATTCGGCAATCTGCTGGCCCTCTTTCATGTGGAAGAGGATGAGAAAAGGCAGTCCTTCTGTCAATTCCTCTCCATTTCAAGAGTTATTTTTCAGACAAGAGGAATGCATTTATCTTAAATCTAATCGTAAGTCACATCAAAAGTCGCCATGGATCCCAGTGATGCCATATCTGGGGCAGACTGCCCTGGTGGTTTGTAAATTATGTTGTCATCACTTTCTGATTTTGAAATATCTCCAAATGTAGAAAGGAAGGCAAAGTCATTGTGCAGAATATTTGCTCCTCTCTCTCTCTTTTTTTTTTGGAGAGGTTTTTGCTATAGGGCACGTGCACTTGCCAGAAAGATAAGAGAGACAGAAAGTGAGAAATCACCCCCCGGGGGGATGGCCACACCGCAATCCCTTCTCCATTCTCCTCTCCGGGATCTTGGGCATGCATGCACATGTGCCTGGTGTGAGTTTAAGCCACCGGGTCTGGGATGTGAACCGCGGTCAACTACATGGGAGTCCAGTGATATAGCCATTACGCCATCTGCTGGTCCCAATATTTGCTCCTCTTTAAAAAAACTCTGTAGTTGTCTGAATCTTCCTGCTCAAATTATCTGATGTTATTTCTTGTGCTGTGATCAAGGGTGGTGATTTTTGCTAAGTCCTGAATTTCTTGAATAGGGTCACTTTTTTTTTGTTGCCTGATAGAATCTGCAAGTGCTTTCACTGATCGCCGACCCCTGTTTTCTCTCTTCATCATCATCCTTTTACAAAACAAGTTGAGGGTTTGGATGTTCGCTTATCCTGTATCTCTGGGCTATATCAGAGTGCTGATCACAATCAATTCTGGCAAATACTACTTGATTTTCATTTGGATATTCTTCCTTAAAGACATTGGAAGCTATCTCAAAAATTGGATGCAACATCTGGCTGAAACGATTCCAGGAACAGCAGGAAGCATCTGAGGTTGGGTAAGAACAGGAAGATTGCTGGATTTGTGGTAACGCTAGGGTCCGTGGCAAAGACAGGTGTCGGCAGATGGAACTGGGCTGGGTCAGGTTGAGTTAGGAAAGGGCTGGTCCCTGGGGGCGGGCAGCAGTGGCACCTCATTCTCTCGACCTGGAGCACCAGAAGTTTATTTATTGTTATTTATTTTTTAATTTGATTAGGGAGAAACAGAGAGAGAGAAAGGGAAAGCAAGAAAACAGGCCGCCTGGTCCAGGACTTGTACTGTGGTCAACCATGTGGGAGTCCAGTACCTTAAACACCATGCCACCTGCCAGCCCCGAGAGAAGGATGTTCAGCACAGCAGAGTGCAGAGTCCCCAGTGAGGGAAGGCAGAGACATGACAGAGGATAAGGGAGTCCCCTGAAGCCACTCTAGATGGCAGGTAGTGTGGACAATAGTGCCAGGAAAGCTCGTACTGTTGTTCCGTCCAGCTTTGTGGAAGTTCGGAAGCTAGACCAAAAGAGAGAATTTACGACAGGTTGGCGACCCAGTTTCATCATGAACTCATCCATTCATTTATGTAGTGGAGAGAGACATAAAGAGACATAAATGACCCTCCCTTCCTTCCAGGTGTGGATCCCTGTCATCTGGGAATGCAGTGACAGCTGTATGGGAAGTGCCTTTTGAAGTTTGGAGCAAGAGCAGGCCACTCCCAGAAGAAGGTGGAGGCACTCCAGGAACCAGAGATGGAGGCTCTTCTGCAGACGCATCTGGAATTTTGTAGAACTGGAAGGTGGAGTGAGTGGACGAGGTAAGAGAGGCATAGAGGGAGTTGGGTGGTGGTGCACCCTAATGCAGTGTTGCGAGGCTGATCCACATAGGGAGGTCCCAGGTTCATGTCTGGAGACCTCCCTGAGTATGCCAAGTGTGCACGCACCTGTGATCCAGGGCTGATCGAAGCTGGAAATGCACTGAAGCATGAAGACCCTGTTGTGGGTCTCTCTCTTTCTCTTACTCATAGAAGACAGAAAGAAACTTAGAAAAACCGAAAAGAAAAAAGAGAACTAAGCGTGTCAAAGATCCATCTGGACACAAGTTTCTGAAGGCCTTTCCTGTGTCATGCTACAGAGTTTGAATTCTTTCCTGCAGATGGATATTTTAAGACCCCCAACGTATCCAGACAAATTTTAGGCTAACTTTTTAAACAGTTACTAATCAGCAAATATTAAAAACTAAATAAATTTAATTAATAATGACTTCCTGAACAAAGATCCTTTAAAATATAAGATTAACCCAGTGGTTTAGATTTTTCAGTTAGAATTAAATGACCAAGGGGCCGGCAGGTGGTGTGGTGGTTGAGGCACTGAACTCCCACACGACCTACTCCAGTTCAAGTCCTGGATCTGTGGCTTGGTTTCTTGCTTTCCCTTTCTCTCTCTTCCTGTTGAAAGGAATAAATATTTATTAAATTAAAAAGAAACTTAAAAAAAAAAGAATTAAATGACCAAAGAGATGGTCTTACATTTAAACCGACACCACAGAAGGATTCAAAAGCTTTAGACCCTTAAATAAAAGGAGGTAGATACTTAGATCAAAACAAATGCACTAAAAATTTATTGACACATGTGTGACAGAAAACACCCCTTTATTTATTTATAATTGATTTAAAATGGTGACTCAATGAACTTGAAATATAATGAAGTTTTACTAAGACTTCTTATTGCCTGTTACAACTTCTAACATGTATAATTGTTTTCAGTCCTGACAATTACCTTGTGGAATAGGTACTCTTATCCCCATTTTACAGGTGGAGGAACCAGTACTTAGAAAGTTTATGAGTGCTGGAATTAGAGTTTTGAACATTGTATTCCTGGCTCAGAACCATTTCCACTCATTCTTTGCCATTCATTTAATGCAGCCGAATCTTCTGATAAAATTGAATAACGTTAACATCATTACCATGGTTTTTTCTTATTATCACTCATCACTCATCACATCAGAGCTGATATTCTCACTGTTTCTTTTTACTGAATCTTTGAACAATCTTAGAATTGTTTCCTTTGGGCATCCAGCAGGTGGCATAGTGGGTAAGGCACTGGGATTCCCACATGGCTGCCCATGGTTAGAGTCCCAGACTCAGTGGCTTGAAAATCATGTCAGGTGCATGTGTGTGCATGCCCAAAAGCTCAAGTGGAGAATGGGGGAAAAGGGATTGCAGTGTGGCCATCACCTCTGTGGGGTGATTTCTCACTTCCCTGTCTCCTTTCTCCCTCAATAAAGAAGAAGAAAAAAAGATTGCTTCCCTCATTGTTCCCACCTAATAAATCAATCAAAAAGTAAATTACTTCAATAAATAAATAGTCATCTATCATGTGTCAAGAGCTATGGACAGAAGAGAGAGGTTGCCTTTATTACAATTCAATTTAGTAAGTGCCGGTACTGAATTCTATTCCTCTTTCCTCTGGCAGGAAATGAAGTCAGTCAAAGTCAGCTGTGCGTATGCAGTTGCCCTTCTTGCCGATGTAGGTGCCTATTCTAGGACCTATGGTGGAAAATGAGCTTGGGAGACAGGAAGACCTTGGTTCGAAGTGTGGCTTTGCCACATACTCCCTGTGTGACTTTTCTGATTTTCATCTGGTTTAAGCTTTCATAACCATTTTTTTGGAGAGGTTTTTGCTATAGGGTGCGTGTGCTCGCCAGAAACAGAGAGACAGAGAGACAGAAAGTGAGAAATCACCCTCCAGGGGGAATGGCCACGCCACAATCCCTTTTCCTCCATTCTCCTCTCAGGATCTTGGGCACGCACGCACACACACCTGGCATGTGTTTAAGCCACCAGGTCTGGGACTCACATTGAGGTCGACTACATGTGAGTCCAGTGATGTAACCATTGTGCCACCTGTTGGTCCTCAAACATTTTAAAGCCTCATATAAAGTATGAGGGAAAAGAATTGCACCTTTCTCCCTGCCACGGGGTTCTCAAACTTGAACCTGCTTATAGCAGAATCTCCTGGAGCCTAGGCCCCGCCCTCTAGAGTTTCATATTCAGAAGGTCTGGGGTGGGCCTGAGAATTTGCCTTTCTAAGGAGCTCCTAGGTGACGCTTTCTTGAAGCCCCGCAGTTTGCAGACAGATTTGGGAAGCAGTGTGGCACAGTTGGGTACGGAGTGGAACCAGACTGCCCTGGGCAAGCCTAGGGACGTAGTTAGCTCCCTGTAGTGCCTCTGTTTCCTCAACCGTAAAATGCACTTCCCGCAGACAGCTGTCTTGAGGTTAAAGCAGTTAAAACGCAGCGCTTTGAGCAGCAGCTGGCAAAAGTAAGAATTGAATAAAGACTAGTGATTGTTATTACACCAGATCTTGCTTTTTGTTTCCTTTCTCTCTCACCCAGATTTTAAGGCACACACACCCCACCTCTTTAAAGTTCCTCCATCGAAGCTGATACCTGGATCCATCTATTCAAATAATGTCCCCTACTGAGCCTGTGGCATGGTTTCACCCTATGGAGGGTTCTCATCTTGTTCTCTCTCACACGTGTGCGCATGCTTTATCACGAATAAAGAAAATAACAACAAAAAATAGTTCCCTCTTTAATGAATTAATTATGAGTTTCTTTCTTTCTTATTCTTCTGAGAGAGAGAGAGAGGCAGCACGCCAACAGGGTCTTCACACCATGATCTACATCGAGCCTCGGCCAACTCAGACCACACTGTCTAGCAAGCACAGGGAGGCTTGGGGACTAGACCTGGGACGTTCCTATGGGGTCCAGCATCTCAGGGTGTTGTGGCCCCAGCTGGCCCCATTTATTTATTAATAAAAACATAAATAAATATCTTATATTTAAAATAGTTAAATATTAGGGAACAGGGAGAGAAAGTAAGGGGTGCAAATATACATATATACAGACGTTTCAGATACAAAAATTAAAGATGACTATTGAGACAGACGTAATTAACATGTCTTGTTAACTGCGAGCTCCATCTCAGCAAGAACAGAAACCTTTCATCTCAAACCTCAGTAGAAATGCATTTTCTTTTTTTTTTTGGAGAGGTTTTTGCTATAGGGCGTGTGCACTCGCCAGAAAGACAGAGAGAGACAGAGAGAGCGAGAAATCACCCCCCAGGGGGATGGCCACGCTGCAATCCCTTCTCCTCCATTCTCCTCTTGGGATCTTGGGCACGCATGCACACACGCCCGGCGTGAGTTTAAGCCACCAGGTCTGGGACTTGAACCACGGTTGACTACATGGGAGTCCAGCGATATAGCCATTACACTAACTGGTGGTCTCTAGGAATGCATTTTCATCAGAGAGCTTTGAGGTACTTCTACTTGATGAATGAAGACTTGGCCATTTCCAGCACATAGAAGTTTGTTCCTTATAAAACACACCAAATGATTCAGCTGGAATTGAATTCATGGCACATGAAATTTTACCCAGATCTATTTTGGAAAAGAGGTTTTAATCCTGATAGCCAAGATTCTGCCATATTGGAATGCCTTTGGCTGAGATCCTGTTTTACATAGAAAGATTTCCTGGTCCCATGTATGTTTTCCGCAGTGTTGAGGGACTGTGGGTTTTTTTTTTTTTTTTTCCCATTTCTCATTTAAAGTGTAAATGGGGAGGGACTATGCCACTCATGACCCACATTCACTATAGTAGTGCCAAGACATGGGTTTTTAAGTGACTTTTATGTTATTGATTCTGAAAATCCACAAGTTACTGTGGTTGACAAGCATTTTTCTGACAATGACATTTGAAGATTCTCCATTTCCAAATCCACAGAATTTTAGTAGTCTTTTAAAAAGAAGAGAACCTGGGCTGGCTCCATAGCCTAGAATTAAGGGAGCCAGATCTTACATGACCGACCAAGGTTCAAATCCCAGCCCCAGTGGCTTGAAAAAAATGCACTAGGGATGAGTGCATATGTGCCCCAAATCCTGACAGGATGGAGAAATGGAAGAAAAAGCGTTGTGGAGTGACCACACAACAGGGCAGGGAGGGTGTTCTTTCCCTCTCTCTCTCACTGTCTCTCTCTGACCAATGTACGCATACTCTAGAAATTAAAAAGAAAAAAAAGAGACCCATCCATAGTAGCGCACATGGTTGACACTGCTCCAAGAGGGCCGAGGACACATGAGAGGCTCAAATTCTAAGCTCTTCCCACCCTAAAAGCTAAGGGTGGCAGCTGAGGCAGGAGGATCATGACATAGTGAACTCCTGTCTAAATTAAAGTGAGAGAGAGAGACTACCAGTTCTTTTATGGAGAAAGTAGCCCAAATTATTTATCTGATTTTCACAATAGGCTTCAGTCCAATAACTAAAAATGAACAATAATTATTGTTTATTTTCCCTGAGGTCAAAATCAGTTGTCTTAAAAATGTTTTTAATAGATAATTTATAAGGTTAATGTTAACCAAGACAATTCTAGTAATTTACAATCTTTTAACTTCATTTCATTGTGATAAAACTTTACAAACTTGATCTTTAAAATGAAACATTTTTCTTTTTTTCTTGAGAGGTTTTTGCTATAGGGCGTGTGCACTCGCTCGCCAGACAAAGAGAGACATAGAGACAGAAAGCGAGAAATCACCACCCAGGGGGGATGGTCACGCCGCAATCCCTTCTACCCAATTCTCCTCTCAGGATCTTGGGCACGCACGCACACGCGCCTGGCGTGAGTTTTAAGCCACCGGGTCCGGGATGCGAACCGTGGTCGACTACGTGGGAGTCCAGCGACATAGCCATTATGCTAACTGCTGGTTCCCAAGCTTTTTTTTTTTTTGAATTGTCTTTTATTTCATAAGTGGAAATGATCCAGGAAATGTGTACCTCAAGAGAAATCTAATGAAACCTTAGTTCTGGGTAGTATTGTAGCACCGCTTGGTAATAGTATCTATCTCAGGGCTATAAACCTGGTATAGAACTTACATTTCTGTGTCATTTACTGCAGAACCCTATGAGGTAGGGCCAGTATTATCTAATGTTAGGGGTTCAAACAACTTAAGTTTAGAGGTTTACCCAAAGCCAAAAGGTTTCTGACTTTGGAGTGCAATGTGCGTTTTTGCAGCTCAATTTCTAACCAGGGCAAATTCTTTGACAATGATGACAATTTGATGTTATAATTTGTTCTCAGGAAAGGCTCTGATGAACTCATTCATACTGGATGTAAATTACTGAGATAGCTCAAAATATTACCTTTTAAAAATTACTTATTTAATTTTATTTGTTATCATTATTTTTTAATTTGACCATAGAGAGACAGAGAAAAAGGTAAACTGAGAAGGCAAGCTGCCAGCTCCAGGACTTGAACTATGTTTGGCCATGTGGGAGTCCAACACCTTAACCAACTGCCACATACCCATCCCAGGTATTACTTTTTAATAGTTAACCTGGGTGTTTTGTAACTGTGAGAAAGTGAGAGCTCTCTGTACCTGAAGGCAGGCTATAAATGAAAATTCATTATTATACTTAACAGATGGTGCTTCCAAAATATGGTTACTGAACGTGACCATAAATAAGGTTGTTGAGAAATACTGCGATTAAAACTATCCAGCGAAATAGGGAACTTGAGTGGACTGCTTTAAACGCTCTACCATAAAGTAAGGAAACCAATGAACCGATCACGATAACTCACAGGGGGGAAGAAAAAAAAGGTTTGGTATCCATAACAGATTCGGAGTCAACAATGTAATGATTCAGCATTTTGGGGTCTATTAAACTAAACCTGTAGGTTGTCGGTCAGTGGTGCTCAGTGTGTAGGCACAGAACTTCCTGTCCCACGCCTGTGTCGAGTATTCTATACCTTATCTCCGGTTAAAAATCACCCCCTCCTCCTAGCAGCGGTGGCAGAACCTCCCTCGGGCTGGCTGACCCTTCAGGCTTTGGTACAAGTTGGTTTTTACTCAGGCATAGCGGTCGCCAAGACAAGAGCTTCTGATTCCTTCTGCCTGGTCCGGAGGCTTCTGCTGGAGCTTAACACGCTAGAGGGGAGCACTCCATAATGTGTGGGCAAGAAGCACCTTCGGGATAGCATCTTTGGTGATCACTAAGCGAATTCATTATTTTCTTTGCATCGATAGGTTTCTATATAAAAATCTCTCTCGCCAAGCCACCTTGCACCCCAGATCCTCGTCTGGGCATTGCCCGGAGCCTGTGGCGAGAGCCGGGTGGGAAAAGGCTAGGGCGTGGAGCGCATAGCCCGCGTGGGCGGCGAGGGCGCCTGGCAGCCGAGATAAGACAGCACACCGAGGGTCCTACCCGCCGGGCCCACAGCGCGGGCCTGGCAGGGCGGGCGCGCCACGGCGCGGGACCAATCGACAGCGCCGGGGACGATTCAAAAGGCCGAAACGCCAATGGGAACCCTGGGTGGCCCA